AGACGATGATCTTGTCGCGCCTTTTGGCACTACACGATGGTCGTCCCGCTCGAGCTCTCGGTGCTCAAGCAGCTCCAGACCATGGTCACCAAGTATGTCCTCGGCTCGAAGATCGGCCGACATGATCGCTACATCAGCCTCGCTCGACAAGGCTTGCAGTTCGACGTACTCGTGGGCCTGCGTATCCCGCATGTCCACTCGATCGTGACACGGCAGCGCCTCCGCGTGCTGCAGCGATGGGTCGCGCCGTGCGATGCAACGACGAGTTCGTGGCAAAGTCTCGCACGCGCTGCCATGGCCGACGTCTACGGCCCTTTCGATGATGCGACAACATTGGACTTTCTCTGGTACTACCCGAACCGGCGTACCACGATGCTCGACCTCGAACAGCTGCCTCCGCTTCTGCGTGATGTGTGGCAACATTGGGCTCGTGTCCCAACAACGCGCCGAGCGCCGGCGGGGTTCACGCCGACAATGCTCGCCAACGCGCCTTTGTGGTTCAACCAGCTCGATGCATTCCAAGGTCCGCAAGGCACGGGCAAGACAGCATTTGCTCTCTCGCTCGAGCTTAGTCATCGAGGCTTCTACGGACATCTCGCCCGCTGCGGGCTGCGACGTCTTACGGACATTCTTGACAACGGCGCGTGGCCCTCCAAGGAGCAGTTCAACCTGCGCCTCGAGATCCATGCCCAGACCTACGACAGCCCGCCGGCGACGTTCACGTGGTTGTACAAGCGCTTCACAGTCGTGGCGCAACAAGTGTGGGACGCGCTGCGCACGCCATGGGGTCACCCGTTGCCACAGCTCGCGGCGCGTCCGCTGGTGTGGCCGATGCCGGACAAGCAGGCGTTTGTCACGCTTGCCCATTGGCCCAAGTCCATTCTTCAAGCCGTCGCATCGTCGCGGCCGAGTCTGGACCGGGAGCATCCGATGCTACGTCTGCAGCCACGGCCGCCGGACGACTTGTACGAGTACGTCAAACTCGTTCGCCGCAGCAAGCGGCATGCGATGCCGGTGGAGTACGACGTGTGGTTTCGCTGTCTCTTCCACATCTTGCCGACGAACTCCCGCTTGTGGTTCATGCCGCAGCCCGATTCTGCGTTTTGCC